TTTTTTTTTTTTTTTTTTTTTTTTTTTTGAGACAGGGTCTCACTATGTAGTTGAGACTGACCTGGAACTCACTATGTAGCCCCAGCTGGTCTCAAACTCACAGCGATTCTCCTGCCTCAGCCTCCTGAGTGCTGAAATTACAGGTGTGCGCCACCACACCTGGCAACAAGCTTCTCTTTCGTAGCAGCACTGCCCTGGTACTTCATGATTTGCATCAAGCTGCAGTATTATAGTTTTTATCACGAGATTCCCCCTTAGGGCACTGTTTGCCACCTCTTGTTTTGTTTTGTTTTTTTTCTGCTTGGCTCCAATTCCTTTTCCCAAAATAGGTCATTTCTGCCCTGGATGTGGCTTGGTTTGAATAAGCGTTTCACTAGCTTCTTTGTGAGTGTGACTATTTCAGTGTTTTAATTGATTATTTAATTGATTTCTTAAAAGGAATCTAATTGAATTGGTTAGCAATGGAGAGCCCCGGAACTAATTAAATTCGAAGGCAGGCACAACCCTGCCTCCCCCTCTTCCCTCTCGAGGCTGCGGCAGGCTTTAGTCCGGGATCTGGCTTGAAGTTCAAGGTGTAGCAGGCTGGCTTAGGAGGAAGCAGATGGTCAGATACCTCCGCCAATGTGTGTCTCCGAGGCAGGCAGACGTGGGAAGGGATCGTTTCCCATATTTGAAAAGGAAAAGATGGCTCTCAGAAGCCACAGCATTAATCTCCCAGCTTAGCTCAGAGCGCAGGCTTTGGAAAAGAGACAAGTGAAAATCCCATTCCTCTGCATTATTTGGAAGAATAATGAGAACACTCAGTCTACAACTGATCTCTTTTCATTTGCAGCTATTGAATTACCTGTTGGCTCACCTCATCTTTCTATTTAAAATGAGTAATAAAATATACTCTGGGCCATTTACTGCCTTCAATACTTCTGCACACCCCACACAGGCTGAAGCCAAGTGCAACCAACCCTCCATGGCTCCTAGAGCTCTTCCCCTTCCAACCCTTCACTGGTACCCCTCTCCTCTGGGAATGCCTTTTGCTGCGGGAAGAAAGCCTGGCCACCACGGAGGCTTAGATCAAATGTTACCTCTCCCCGGAAGCCTTCCCTAATTCCCCCCGGTAGGGAAGTCTTCTTCTTCCTCTCCATTCTTAGACCATTTCCTCCACTTCATTGAAGTCACAATGCCTCTGCCAACTGCCCTTGCAAATCTTTGAGCTGCTATTTATCAAGCATTACACAGAGCTGGGCACCACCCTAAATGTCTTATATCTGCTGATAAAGCAGCCCCCAGTGAGGAAACTGAAGCCTATCAAAGTTAAGGGACTCGCCCCAGGCCACATGGTCAGCTGGGGGCAGAACCAGGTTTCTAACAGAGATGGTCTGGTTTCAGGCCTAAGCCCAAAGCTCCACTGCCTCTTCAAATAGGCCATACTTTTCCCAGGTTGGTTTGGTTCCACAGTTGGAAGCTTCCAGGTCAGGTTATGAGTGTGAGTTACCAGCCTCTTGCACTTCCATGGAAGAGAATATTCTGTCCCTCAACCTCCAATTTACATGGAGCTTGGAGCCAGGCATGATGGCACATACCTGCAATCCAAGTACTCTGGGAAGCTGAAGCAAGAGGATCTCAGGTTTGACCGCAGCCTGGACAAGTTAGTGCTTTGGCAAGACCATGTCTCAAATATTTTTTTAAAAAAGGATGGGAATGTAGCTCAATGTGAAGGCCCTGGGCACACTCCCCTGTACTACAACAAAACAAAGCAAGACAAAACAACAGCCACAACATTGAACTTGGACGTGTGGATCGTTTGGCCACACTGCAAACCCTGGATGTGATAAGAAATGCCAGTCACAGTGGGGTAGAGGCTTTAATGGCCACTGAAAATTTCAGTCATTGTTCTTTTCCATTAGCCACCAAGGGGAGTATTCCTTGGGTGGCAGGACAGAGGACATCCCAAGCAGAGACACAGACAGACAAGCCACAGCCCATGCGTTACGTAGACAGGAAAGGAATGGGACTGTGTTTTGCGGAGCCTGGGGCTTGTTACCATCACACAACCTTTCACCACCATATACCTTTTTACCTAGTAAATTGAGACACATTGTGTAATACAGAACCACAAAAGAGTTTTAATTCAGAGAGGGACTCACAACACTGTGACTGTTCATCCTGATACCACAGCTTCATTGGGTTAAGGAACAAATGCACAGCAGGTCAGTAAAGAATGCTCCTGGGTGTGTGTGGGTGGGACATGGATATGGGACCTTGGGTGCCATATCTGGTCTCCCGCCCCTTCCTCTCTGGCACTGTTCCCCTGCTCTGCTTCCCGGCTACCATGAACCAAGCAGCTCTGCTTCCCCACATGCTTCCTCCATGATGTTTATGCCTTGGAGCCTGTGGATTATAGACTGAAAATGTGAGCCAAGTTCCTCCTTTAAGTTTGAGCGCTGGGCACTGTGTCCGACAACCAGAAAGCCAACGAACACAGTCACTCTGGCAGAAGTGAGGAAACAAATCTGAATGGCCAAGTCTGAAGCCACAGAGACCAGTCAGAGATGGGAGATGAATTAGACCAGACTGGCTTCCAGCAAGTCAACGTCACTCCCAGGAAAGGGAACAAGCAAACTGCGAAATGAAAACAACAGACACAGGACTGTCTTGTCCCAACTGAGAATTACCTTGAGTTCTAATTAGCACATCATGTTCACTGGGAGATGATGGTGATGAGGGTGGTGATGATCAGGGTGGGCTGAATGCATGGTAGATAAACCAGATAAACATCTTCCTGCCTCCCAGTTATATCCCAGACAATGGCTTCAACTTATTCTTTAACCAATCCTTCTTCATTCTTTCAGGGGCACCAAAACAAACAGGCAAAATGTTGCATCTCCTGGATTCCAGCTCCTCCTACCCACGTTGCAGATCCCAAGTGCCCAAGCTTCAGCTCTTGACCTACCAGCCAGCAGTGAATTCCACATGAGCATCGAAGAAGCCAGTGACCTGGCCGGTGGCCACCTTCCAGCCTTCTATGCGAGCTCGGATCAGGCCCTCTCTCTTCTGATTGCGCACCACCTTCACCAGCCCAGGGTAGCGTTTGTGGACGTACTCCTCCAATGGTGCTTTTAGCTCCTCTGCAAAGGTGAAAGGCAAGAAGTCCATAAATATGCCATCTCAGACTTGCACCCTGCCCTCTGTGCTGCCTACGGGTCCTTGGGAAATTCAGCTATAGCAAAAAGGTTTTGTGCCAGTAATTTGAGTAGAAAAGATAACCTGTGCAGTCTGGGAGTCAGAACACATTGCTCATCCAGGACAGCTCTGCTCTCACAGTGTACAGTGTATACAGCTAGACAGGAAACAGGCCTGTTATGTGTCAAAGGACCCTGGCTGGCAGATATCCTTTGAGATTTCTGTCCTTGTGGCCCTTCCTAATTACTTAGCTAGTATTCCTGGCCTCTCATCGCCCCTGGATCCAGCTTATCAATTTTTAGATGGGCTGTTCCTTGCACTTATAGATGCTTCTTACAGAATGTGTCCGGTGTGGTCCAGACTCATGGTCATGCACCAGCCCTAACATTAATAGGATCTGTTTTGGAGTTAAGAGGCAAAATAAGTCTTTGTCCGGTAGTAGAAATGATACATTGGTGGCAGAAACAATGTTCTTGAAGATCGAACACCTCCTTTCTGCAACAAGTAAGTGACAAAATGCATTATTTCTATAGTCTAATCCTATACCAACTTAGAAGATTGCTGGATTAATTCCATTAACTAGTGAGATTAATTCAATTTTGTAGATAGATGCCATTTAAGGGAAGCTAATCTGTCCCAAGGTCACACCTAGAAATGGAAGAGCTGAAACATAACCCAACTGTGTCTATCTTCATAGATGAGAAGCTTGATACCTGTGTGTACCTAAGAATCCCCAGATACAAGGAGGATGCAGGAAGGACTGACAGAGAAGGGAGTTACATAGGTACGCTGCAAGAATCTGCCCTTGGACAATCTTAGTCACTCATGTCTCAGAGCAGCCCTAGCAATCCACAGACAAAACTGCAAGAAAAATAATTTCCAGCTTTGCTTTAGAGAATGCTAAAAGGGCTGGATTATAGTTTAGATTTAAAATGTTCCCTAAAGTCTCCTGTGTCTGAAAGGTGACTGGTCTGTGGGGATGCTATGCTCATCAATGGAGTTATCCATTGATGAGTCCAGTAGCTAAATGTGCTTTTAGGAAGTGGGCATGGTTAGAAGAGGTGGGTCACCTGGACAAGTATATTTTTGTCTCCAGCTCTTCCCTTCTCTCTCTGCTTTGTGGTTGCCATGGTTTGAAAGACTTTCCTCTGCCCAGGTCCTTCCACTATTTTTCTGCCTTGGAGCCAGCCAACCATGTACTGAACCTACTGAAACCATAAATCAAATAAACATCTCTTCCTTTAAATTACTGGTGTGGGGCATTTTGTCCTAGCAATGGGAAAGCTAACATAGGCCATATTATCAGATTTTGTTTGGTTCCTTCACTCCCTAGGTACATATGGCAGATTTTTGCCCACTCAAAGCCATGCATTTGCAGCCTATGTAGAGGCTGATCCCTTTGTATCATGGCTGAAATGATACAACCATGTGACTCAGCAATAAAGGCAGAGCATAGCGTGTTTGAATGAATGCAGGTAAAAGAGTCCCAAAGAGTAACACAGAAGTTACTGTCAGTCAAAGGCACAGATAATGGAGGTTACAGACTGAATCCTGTTCCCCTCCAAACTGACCTGTTAAATCCTTAACCCTTGCACATACGAATGTGCATGTATTTAGAGATAAAGCCTTTAAAGAAGTAGGTGAGTTAAAATGAGGCCATTAGAGTGGATCCTAATCTGACTTGTACCTTTAGAAGAGGAGGAAATCTGTCACACAAATAGATACTGGGCATTTATGTGGAGAGGCGTGTCCATGGCGAGGGGTAACATTTGAAAGCCAAGGTGAGGGATCATGCAATAGCTTGATCTTTAACGTCCAGTCTCCAGAATGATGAGAAAATAAATGTTGTGCAAGTCACCTAATCCATGGTATTTTGTTGTAGTAACCGAGATGACTGATTGAGGAATGTGTATGGAAAGATGTCATCATCCTCAAAGAGGAAAATGGAACCTGGGCATGGAGGGAGCAAAAGCTTTGGCCTCCATGCGATCCAACATATGACTGATGTTGAAGCTAGAGTCAGCCTTGGACTCAGACCCTGGATAAGTCAATTGATCTGTTCCTCATTTAAAGGAGGGTGATGATAATGATAGCACTGGTCTTACTGAGTCATTATGAGGACTAAATGAGCTAATATAGAGCAGATGCTTCCAATCATCCCCTGGATGGCAGATATGCTCAACACTAACTGGTATTAATGAGTATCTCCTTTTCTCTCTTTCTTGCCATAGAGAGACCAGACCAGAGATTTCAGAGCAGCCCAGGAGCCTGAAAAATTATGCCAGAGGTGACAAAACTGGGTTTCTAGAAGCCATAGTTGTGGTTCTCACGCTGGAAAGCACATCAGCATTCTCTGGAAATGTTGCTAGGTCCTCCCCTTTGGTTTCACTTTCAGTAGGTCTAAGGCAGGAACTGAGTACTTGTGTTTACATAATGAGTTTAGGGATTCCAAGGCTCTGGTATAAGGAACCCACTCTAAGAACCACTGAGCTCAAAATGCACGTGCCAGTCTTAGCACACACTTGACACACAGAATGTAAATAGCAAAAGTTATGCTTGGCATTTTGCCCATAATGCTATCTTGTTTACCATCATCCCAGAGTTGGTGAGGAACCAATGAAGAGTCCACTCACTTTGTGAGAAGAGGAGCCAAGCAGTTAAGCTTGAAGTGGCCCAGTGAATTTTTGGCTTCTAAAATCTGACTTCATGTTGGCTGGGTTTTCCTGTCAACTAAGTTTCTTGGAGCAAGAATGTCAGCAAGAAGGTTGGTGCTGTGGTATGGATGAGGTCTGTCTCCACCAAAAACATCTGCTGAGGATTAATTCCTCAGTGTGGCAGTATTAGGAGGTGCCACCTTCAAGGGGTGACTGGGTCACAGGGGACAGCATGCTCAAGAATGGATTAACATCTTTCATTAAGAGACTGGGTTAAGTCTCACTGGAGTGAGTTGGGTATTGAAAGCCTGACTTAGTTACCATTGCAGCAGGCTGTCACCCCTAAAGCAGGGGCACCCCTAAAGTTCTGGCTTGTTTACACTCACTCATCATGGTTGTACCCTTTCCCACCCTGCCAGATGCAGTTGCTTGACCTTGAACTTCCCTCCCTCCAGAACTCTGAGCTAAATAAGCTTCTCCTTTATAACTTATCCAACCTCAAGTATTTTGTTATAGCAACACAAAACAGATTTAGACAGTTGGGCAGGTCATACTTGCTTGGATTTTCATTTATTCCTATGAGTGCTGTGTGGGAAGGAAGGACATGTCACTGACAGTATGTAATGGGCCAAGGAATGGCAGTGTACCTGTGAGATGCTATTCTGGAAATCCCACCTGCCAGAGTTGGTCTGTGCTGGTGGAAATCTCTGTTAAATTCAAGGGAGATGTTCTGTACCAGCACTGAACGAAGGGATCCGCAGGCACCATCAAAACCCTCCACTGCCAGGCAAGCTGAGACTAACTGTAGTTCTTCTGCCCAGTAACCGGATGTCAACTCCTGGCTATATCAGGCACCAGGTCTAAGTAGACAATGATTTCTTCATTTGTGAAGTGGTGGCAACTGAGGGTTTGGGAATGTAAAAAGGGTAAAAATGTATGAGGCTGGACAAAGACAGTGCTGTTTTTACATCTTAAAGCTACTGAAATATGGATATTAAAGGCTTTTAAAAGTATAAAGGGATGAAAGGATAATGCTTAATCATTTGGCATTAGCATTATAGCTATTAAGGGTAAATGAGGAGCTACATTGAAAGCCCTTACTATGTACCCAATAAACGCTATTTCTAATAATTGCTTTATTATTTTTAATATGGCAGTTTCATTCTATAACTTCCCATTACCAAAAGCTTGTCTTCCTTTCTGGTCAATATTATTTGAAAATCTTGGAACTACTTTATCCCAGAGAGAAAACAGGAAACATCATTCTCATTTTTTAGAAGGCTCAGGGACACAAATGAAGCAACAGCCTAGGGGCTATTATGGGGATCCTGAGGAAGATGCCACAGCCCAGCTAGCAGAGATCAAGAGCAAATGACACTGACTGGGCTTCTGTCTCAGTCCATGCAGTAAGACTGTGGCTTCATAAAGCATTAGATTGTACCCTTGCTAAAAAAAAAAAAAAAAAAAAAAAAAAAAAAAAAAA